TTTTTGGTGACTACTTTTACCACATGTGATAAGGTAGGAGGACTTATCCTGTAGACACAGCAGGATTAGGGCTGCTGGTATGGCCTGGAGGCCAGGCCACTTGGCTGAAATGCAGTCGTAGGGCACTTAAGTGGTCCCTCTAGCTAAACTGAGAGTTAGCCGAACAGCCATCTCATTGCAGTGCTATTGACGTACAGGAAGTGTGGAAGTCCATAGGTGTGGTTAAGTGGACATGCCTCAGATCAAAACTGCAAACTTTGGATTCAATGCGCCAAATTAAAAATAACTGCCTTATACATAGATAAGTGAATACACTCGAAAAAAAACATTCCTATGAGGTTCTCATACCCACATTATGGCTGCCGATATTATGTCGAGGTGATTTGACGGTTTGGTCAAAAGCACGCTTAAGTAGGCAACCCCTTTCTCGTCCAGGCTTTGTGGAATAAACTTCGGCTCATACATACGCGCAATTTAGGCTTTTCCACACTGCTTTCGATTATTGGGTTTTCAGAGAAGGCTTACTATGTAAGGATTGTATTTACAATAATACACTCAATGCAGTTGCCCGTTGTTTGCATAAAATTTGGGGAGACAACTCAATTGTAGATTAAGTACAACAGGATTCGATAATAGCTTATAAATAATACAGCTGGAAAGATCTAGCAACGTAGTTATTGAATTACAACTTCTTGCAATATAAAACTAATATGCTATAAAAAGGGAATAGTACTAGTTCTCTAAAAACCGTTTTACTACCTTACAACATACATAACTTGTAAGCTACACCTGAGATAAATAATTTAAAACTTTGAGAATAAAGGCGTATTTGGTGACAAATTACTAAGTTCTTTTTCATATGTGTCGAATAACCTGCAGATGAATTTTGCGTTTTATATAAAGGGGTGGGCTATGTGTGAGTGCTTTCAGTCAACACGGTGAATAGGACGTATTAATAAAAATGATTTTGTTTTATTATCTACATGTATGTGTCAAATAGAGATGAACATGAAGGTTTGGCTATGGATCAGTGGGGCTGGCTTGATTTGAAGTTTCTGTAAAGTTTGCGCCTGGCTGGTCAGATATGACCGATTTAATCAAATATTGATGCAGAGTGCGTTTTTACTTGAGTGTTGCTTTTGTTTTTAGCTGGCCCTGGGGATAATCAGTGTTTTCTTACTGTTACTAGAAAAGATTGCTCTTACTGGCTACCAGTTTGTGCTTTGTGGCCAAGAATGCGCCTGCTGGACTGCGACATTATTCCGGGAAATCGCAAAATTGGGACGAAAAGCCACCAAACTTAGTCTTTCTGCTGCAAGTACAAAAAATACAACAGAAGAACTTGTCAGATGATCCAGCCATGACGCAATATAATTCATTACACTTTATTTTGCTCGCTGGCGCTTCACTGGATTCGAAAATGTGAATCATTTGTTGGTGGGGCGGTCGAATGCGAAGCCGCTCACTTCGGACACCACGTAATAGAGCCTCCATCCCTCTAGTTCACTTGACAAGAAGATGCTGGCTTCGATGAAAGATGAGAATGGCCAAGCGTGCGCGATTCCTGATAAAATAAGAAATAAATTCCAGCATTTTTGTGGAGGCAAACTCTTTTTGGTGCGGTTTCTACTAATCTTCTTGTAGAGTGGCAAAAACCATCTTACCCATGTTTTCAGAAATGTAGATTATTGCCTTAAAACCTCAATTGTGTTTTAGAATATGCAATTTTTCCTTTTCTCTAGGTAACTCTAATCGCTCCAAAAACAGGTCGTCAATGCTGCAACCAATGTAGCTCTTCTGGAGGCAAGACAAAAAGTTATTCCTTTTAAAGACCTAATTTCCTTACTTATGGAAAAGAATCTTGCCTCCCGCTTTGCTGTTGCAGTCAATAAGAAGAATATCGCCTCTGCTACTCTGAAAACTGCCAAATTATGCGACGTCGCTCTAAAAAGTTGCTGTTGTGGGTCTTTTTTCATGCTGTAACAGATGAGGGTACAAATAAGAACTTAAAGTACAAATTGAACGCCTAAAATGAAGGACTGACGACTTGCAGACAGCTGCTCTTTATATTGAAGCCGATACTCCAGCTGGTAATGAAAATATTAGATGTCAAGAAGGGCTTCCCTGCTAAGAATGCAAGACAACGAGACAATGTCGAGAATGCTCAGCACAGCTGTATCGGCTATCTTTTGAGCGATTTATACCGCTGGACAAATGTAAGTGACATGATTTTGGCTGAGCTGTGACATTTGGAGGAGCGCAATGAGTAGATTATTTGAGAGCACCTTTGACACCTTGAGACTATAGAAACGTTTATTTTTGTAATTTGCCGTCTTCTGAAGTCATTTAAATATCTAATTGATCTACATATGCTGCAGGATCGGGTTGTCTGCCCTCTTGAGTGGCATCCGGCACGGAAATGTAGGCCCTCCAATTTAGTCCCTTTCTACACTTGAGAATATGGTACCCTTTGAGGAAGTGGTTTAGGTCGGTCACAATGACTCTTCGAGCATAATGGACGTGTCTACTGATTATCACGCTATCACCGATCATCCTGGTGCCTTAGCAACACTACAGTGTGAGGCATAGTTCGACGATGATCGATGGCTGCGAGTAAGACAGCTGTGGAATCAGGATAGGCGCTAAGACTTGGCTTCATTTAAATGTATAGGGAGGGAGAAGTAGAACATTAACAGCGCGGGGAACTGTTCCTCCCAAACAGCTGTTATGTGTAATGTTTGATAGGACAATACCGTTAATTCTCAAACTCAGGTAAAGACATAGGACGTCAAGGTCATCATCTAAATTTATGGACTTCATATTTTTATAATTTTATTGTGTATTTGTTATTTGCACATTTGCGCAACGTTTCGAGTTATATATCCTTCGGTGGTAGGCATAGGCATACAAGGTTCAAATAAAAGGGAACAGACAAATCTACCATGGCTGTTGCACTTCATTACCAAGATGCAAAAGCCTTCTTTCTAATGCTTGCAAATTTTTTTATCCGAATGCGTTTGGCAGCTACTATTTAGTTTTTGTAGTAAAAACAAGTACTGAGTTGTTGGATTTGCATCAAAATTTATAAAAATTTGGAAAGGTTAGTTTTCTTCTCTATCGTTGCAACATTCATGCCTTCTACCTAGTTAAGTTTTCGAGGGCAATTTTACGATGTTACACATTTGACTGCTAGTTACAGATCAAGAATTGTAATAAAGATTGTGTTTTTACCCTATTAAACCAAACTGGTGATGTAAGCATCGGGTCTCGCGGAATAAAAGCGGTGATCCTATCGCCCTTTTAAGAAGTGAGCAATAAGCATTTGCTTCTACTCTGTTAATTGCAATTTTTTCTTACTTTGAAAAGACAATTACGAATAATTTGATCAAAGGGTAGCATTTCATTAATCTACAAAATTACTGTACGTATGACATTTTTAAGAACCTACCTTTGAATGGACTTCCGAGATATATTAATTTGAACCAAAACATCCCATTAACATTTCTATCGCGGGCAAGTCGTAACGGCGAAGTAAAAGTTGAGCGTCCCTAAGACATCATCTATGCAAACAAAGTTCTCACCCCTTCTGATTTATTTTGAAATTTCTATATTTGTGTTCCTTTATAAGGCATGTTTCGGCAATTATCCAACAACTTTGCACATAAGAATTTGCCACGACAAGTGACAGAAAACAGCTCAATTAGT